CTGACGGACCACCTGATGGAAAGTGGTAACCGTCGCCTATAGACATGAGCAGTACCATGGACATAACAGAGTATACTGTTTTGCCCATGATATCCTCCATGCGTTGCCATTCCTGAGGACTCAGGTGTTATTCCTCTGTACCCACTAAATTCACGCAATGTCCTACCCTTCAAACCAAAACACAGCCATGCAAACACAACTGGTTTACTGCTTTGTGTTGGTTTTACTCACGTTTTAAATTCAGAAATGCTCGATTAGTTTCGAACCCGATAGGAGATCTTATTCGACCATCGCCGTCGGCTGTACGCGCGTAGCAACAAACAGCGCGCTGGTCACTCAGTGCTGTTCGTAACGCAGTCGTAAACCGCTCTTGTGAAAAATGGCTTCTATTGTATTTTAGAAAAAAAGTGTCGAAAAACGATAAAAAATAGTCTCTTACACTTATACGCTTAATTGGTCCTGTTAATAGGGGAGGATCTACATTTTTTGGTATTTTTTTTTCAAATTTATTTATAAAAAATGGTGATCCATTCTGTTTTTATATTTTAAAGGTTTGTTTTAAATATGTTTAGTTTAATTTATATAGCACTTTCTTAAAAAGGCAAAAACGTTTTCGATTTTACGGTATTTCTCCTTTCACGAGCAGTTGTCTAAAAACCTCTTACTTTTATTAACAAATAGATTCCCAACAATGATATTCAAGAAGTACATTCTAATTCCCTCGAGAGCAAAAAGCGTGGACATAATAAACCTATCGGATTGAACGTGAATGCGGCTTCCAGGGTAACAATATCTATGACGGGGGTCAAGTTTGCAATCTTCCAAAGTGGTTCCCTGCGGGTGACTATAATTTTGTGGGAAAATGGATAGTCCCGAGACCTTTATGTATCGTTGTAAAAAATATAACGTATTTAAATAATCAAATTTAGATCATTCTAATTTTGAATTTTATCAATAACGTAAAATGTAGGACTAATATAAGAAAGGCATGTCATTAGGTGTCATTGTCACATATTACAACTTACAACACGTAATGTTAGGTGACAAACGTAATAAGTCTGACTTGAATTAGGCATGTAACATTCACGATATGGTATCGATGTCGACAAAGGTCAAGTCTGTAATCTTCTAAAGTGCTTTCAAGTAGGGTGCCCACGATTGCTTTGGGACTACAGACGTCTCAGGTCTGGCTCAGTCATGGTAAATAAGAAATAATAATATGTAACTAACTATTATTACTATATACGTCTATAAAAAAAAAAGAAGAAATAGGCCTATTTTTTTTTTTAGAATTTATAACTTACTCTTATTCTATACATAGAAAAAAAATTATAATTTATATTAAATTTATGAAAAATATATTCAAAATTATTCAAACGTATTAATAATAAACAATACCTCCGTCATTCTCTATACTTAATGGAGGGAAAATGACGTTTTGTTTATGGTGCTGTTCATATCCATAAGCGACGGTTATTTTCCGTATGGAAAAAAGCTGGTAATCCATGGGGGTTATCAGCTTTTGTCATGTCGTAAATAAGAATTATTTATTATGTTTTCATATTTTTTCGAGAATAATAATGTCCAATGTGACGGGAGACATTGCACAGGTCAAAATGGTGACAACGCCGACTTTTGTATCTTTTTTTGTTTATTATTTGATATGTATTGTATTCTACTATATTTTATTCGAATTTACTAATTGTCGTTGTATATTTTTATTGTATTAAGTGCAATAAAAAGTTAAATAAATAAACTTGGTCTATATTAAAAATGGTAGGTTTGCGATGTAATTCACAAGAACAATTTTTTACATTTTTTAAGAATTCATGTTCTATTTACTTGCAATAAAACTATCTTAAACATTGGTCTTAAATTTACATTATACAAAATTTAATTAAAATCTGTATATTAATTTTCAAGTGACATACAATCTAGAAGTTTTGTGTACGAATAAAAAAAGGGGAAAGTCCTTCCATTATGAGATGTATGCAAACCCTACATAGTTACTGATATGTATGTATGATTCACATTCGTACATACATTTTACATGGTGGTGTGACGTGTTAGTGTGAGTGACGTCATGCCTCTGGAGGCTCGAATAGGGACATCACTTAGCGGTATTAGGGCTTCGTATACAAGGAAGTGCGAATCGCATCGTCATACGCAGCTCAGCTGCGTGGATGTACGTCGTTATTTGCTAGTCGGAAAAATGTAAGCCGGATTTGCTTTTAGTTGGAAAAAAAAGAAATAGAAAGAAAAAACATATTATAAATTCAAATAAATAATAATTTACTAGTTGTACTCATGACTTCGTTCCTGCGAATGGGTAGAAAAACAATGTTTTTGTTTTTTAAATAAGTAAATATTTATGATATTTCAAGAGGTAAAAATAGCTTTATTTATTTATACTTTAATGTACACACTAATAATACACAAAAATATGACAAAGCTAAGCAAATGTACAAAGTCGAGTTAACTCTACAAGAGGGGGAAAGGGATTGTTAGTAATGGAGACTGAGAATCCCATTGCTAGCAATATACCCAAACAGGTCGACCTGCTCGCGGTTCTCCCTGGAAACTATCATGGTTAATTCCTGATAAATTCATCATGATGGTCTAACTGGCCTGTTTTCATTCTCATCTGTCACCCTTCACTGGTGCTCCGCCAGCGTATACCGTTAGCGCAGGCTGGGTTACCATTTTCATACCATTTTCACCCATCAAAAAACTCTACAAGAGTTTCATTCTAGCAAACCTATAGTGGAAAGGACCATCGTTTATATAGATATAAAGTATTCTTTATGATAAGTTACATTACAGCCTACTAGTGTGTCAAATTTCATTCAAATCTGTTTAGTAGTTTTTGTGTGAAAGAGTAACAAACGTCCATCCACCTATCCATCCATCCAACGTTTCAAATTTTCGCATTAATTATGTTTTTTTTTTTTGTAATGGATGCTAATGGTATGGTAACCCCATCCGCGCTAACGGTGTACGCTGGCGGGCCACCAGCAAGAGATGTTAGGTGAGAATGAAAAGGCAGGTCAGTTAGCCCATCGTGATGAATTCATTAAAAATTAATCACGATGGTTTCCATGTGAAAGTGAGTTTATTTGTTGAAATTTGATAGACACTATATGGGATGTAGAGGACCATTTATGGGCTATTTTTTTATCACAGTCAGTAAACATGTCCTTGGGAAACTCCTCTTATGAAAGAGGCATATGTTCAGCAGTGGACAGTTAACGGCTGACACGATGATGGTGGGTTATTTATTTATTTATTCTTTATTGTACACAAAAAATTACAACATATAATATATATACAAAATAAAGATGTACAACAGGCGAGCTTAACTCTGTAAGAGTTCTTTTCCAGCAAACCCTGAGTGGAAAGGAGCGTTAATTACCAGCGGGCAGTATGCGTACAATAATAGAAGGATACATTATAGATGTTTCTATTAAGAAACAATAAATATGTTGATACGGTGATGATGATGAAACATACGTCACTCGAACAAAGTCGCGTGTATAATACCAGAGGGAGACTTTGTACAAAAGTCGATTGCTTGGGTACCTCTGTCCCATTCGTGTTTCAACCGTGAAGCCGTTATGTTTGCATGGCTGTGTTTCAGTTTGAAGGGTGGGATATGGCGTGAATTTACTGGGTACAGAGAAATAACATCTGAGTCCTCAGTAATGCCAACGTATGGGGGGTATAATGAGCGAAACAGTATGTGTGTGGACTGTTATGTCCATGGTACTGCTCATGTCTATAGGCGACGGTTACCATTTTCCATTAGGTGGGCCGTTAGCTTGTTATCCATTCTAAGTTGTATAAAAAAAAAGCTAGTACTGTACATATTATCTTGTATGTAACCTTATATAAATTAATGAAAGCTATCTCACATATAGAGGGATTTATTTGTTTACATTTTATTTCAGAAACGTAATGGATTTTTGTTGAACATGCAAAAGCAACGTCGGTGTATATAGATGGTGAATACGGGCGTTTTAATTAAAAACTTCCCATCAGAACGGGATTCACTTGGGATTTTTGAAAGATTTTAAATTTTATTACACTGTGATAGCAGGGTGGCTTAGTGGTTTACTACTGTGGATAAAGGACCTCTTTTTTAATGGAACGGTGTCCTGCGCTTTTGGTTTACTGGTGATGTGCCAGTGAGGGATGATAAGTGAGGGTGGAAGTAGGTTTGTTAGACTGTTGTGATGAATACCGCGTAAGTTAACCGTGATGGTTTCCATGGTGAACCGTGTGGAAGTCCAGCTGGTAAGGTTTTTTTGAATGGATGATAATGAAATGGTAACACCGTCTGCGCTAATATATATATATTCTTTTTTTTAATGGATGATAATGGAATCGTAACCTCACCCGCGCTATCGGTATACACCGGCAGGGCACCAGTGAAGAATGATAGGTGAGGATAAAGTAGGTCAGTTAGCCCATCGTGACGAATTCAACAAGAATTGTTCACGATTGTTTCCAGAGGGAACCGCGTGGAGGTAGACCTAATAAGGTATATTGCTAGCAATGGGCTGTCAAACTTCATTGCTAACAATCCTTTTCCCCCCTATATACCATATATATATATATATATACTGTCGAATGAGCTCCCAGCCTAGGTTGTCATTAGATATTATGGTATGGGGTTCTTCAACCAGGATATATTAAGATTTCTCAAGGGTCGGCAACACACATGTGACACCCAATGGAGTAGTTTTGAAAGTTGTCACGCTTGGCATGCGAATTAGCGACCACAGTTACTCTTTGGAGATGTTTTAAGAGGAACGCTGTTGCCCATCCCGTAACCATTTAGTTCTCTTAGTCGCGTCTTACGACACCCACGGGAAAGTAAGGTGGCCCATTCTATGCCGGGACCACACAGCGCAGCTGACTAAATGTTGATATGTTTTTAATACACAATTCGCTATCTAAATAGATATCTAAGGCAGTATTATAACAGGCATGCAACTTACCTAAATTCCGTATTGTTTACTTCAATGCTGGTATCTGGAAAAGACAATAAGTTATTTAAATTCATTGTTTTTTTTTATATAACTTAGAATGGCAAACAAGCTGACGGCCCACCTGATGGAAAGTGGTAACCGTCGCCTATAGACATGAGCAGTACCATGGACATAACAGAGTATATTGTTTCGTCCATGATACCCCCATGCGTTGCCATTCCTGAGGACTCAGGTGTTATTCCTCTGTACCTAGTAAATTCACGCCATATCCCACCCTTCAAACCGAAACACAGCCATGCAAACACAACTGCTTCACGGTTGAAACACGAATGAGACAGAGGTACCCAAGCAATCCACTTTTGTATAAAGTCTGTACTGTAATATCTATGATACTGTTGATAATTATATGAAATAACTAGTAGTTTCCCGCGGTTTCACTCGCGTGAATCGACATATAAAATATCCTATATGTTTTTTATAGCATTATATATGTAATTTTTTAGATTGATATAACATTTTTATTTATGAACCGATTCAAATCGGTTAAGCTGTTTCTGAGATTAGCGTGCACAAACGTACAGACATATAGACAAAAATTCTAAAAATCATTGTTATGGCTTCTATTGCGTTCATAAAGCTCCCCCATAATAGTTTTTCTTATATATCTTCTATGTATAGACAGCGACCGGTTACGATTTTATTATATGGATTGATTATAATTTTCTATTAGGTGACATGTCAGCTTGTCTGTATTTTAATAAAAAAAATTTAGCTTTTCCCCCCATTACTTCCTACGTGTAGATTTCAAAAGTATATTTTTCGAAAATCAAGAAAATAAATCACCTCTAGGTAACGTAGCAAGATGTAACATACATCAGATTTTAAGTTAGACCTTTAGAAATACAATTGTGATTTGAGGCAGCAGTTTTTGCAATATTTGTTACAATTTTATTTTATTAACAAGATGTCAAAATGTCGCTTTAAGGAAGCGGTTTTTTTAAAGTGATTTCTAAGATAAAGTTCTTAATGTATTTTCTTATGTGTGCATGTTTTTTTTAATGGATAATGATGGCATGGTAACCCCGCCTGCGCTAACAGTTTACGCTGGCGGGGCACCAGTGAGGGATGATAGGTGAGAGTGAAAAGGCAGGTCAGTTAGCCTTTCGTGATGAATATACCTGGAATTCAGCACTATTAATTCCAAGGGGGATCACGTGAAGGTCAACTTGACAGGGTAAATTGCTAGCAATGGGACGGGTAGTCTGTGTTACTAACAATCTCTTACCCCTTCCCTTATGTGTGCATATTATATTTAAATACAAGAAAAAAGTCAACAGACGAAAATTCTCTGGTATCTTTCTCAATATTAAATTGATTTTTATAATATTTTATACTACTGACAGAATTTAAAGCCATTATGTTCTTTTACTACATGACAATAGAAACCATTTTACTTTGCACAGCGAAATTCTGTAGGCAGTATCAAACAAAATCTTTAATCGATTCCGCGTTCTAAATTTAAATATTTTTAGGTTAGTTTGGCAACCGCAGTTAGGCTTTGGTGATGTTTTAAGATGGCCGCTGCTACCTATCCCTCGACCAATATGATCCCTTAGTCACCTTTTAAGACGCTCACGAGAAAGGAAGGGGTGGTCTATTCTATGCCGCAACCACACGGCTTACGATTACCTATAGGCGACGGTTACCACTTTTCATCAGGTGGACCGTTAGCTTGTTTGCCATTCTAAGTTGTATAAAAAAAAAAAAAACTTTATATTAAATTTTATTGAAACCGTCTACAATTATGCCTTAAAAACAACAGTGACTTTACTATGAATTATTATTATGATTTTATACAATAACTTAATACATAAAAGTTTATATACCAAAGAACTTTTTAGAGAAATATAAAAAAAAATTACTCTTTTACAGCGAACCAACGAAGGACGAATTATAAATGTATTATTCATAGAAAATAATGTGGTTTGACTTCTAAAGCTTTTTCAGTTCAGTTCTCATGAATTTTCATCGGCATGCAAATTACGTAACTAGAAGTGAAATTGATTTTATATTGGCACTGTAACTAGTTGTGATGTATTAATATTATAAAGGGAAAAGATTTGTTTGTTTGTTTGTAATAAATTGCCCCAATATATAAAAGACATTAATCAGTTGCATCTATTTAAGAGGGAACTAAAGAAGATACTAATTGACAAAGCATACTACACTCTAAATGAATATATGACAGTTTTAAAAATTAAACAAACGATAAATAACTGCGTTGTATTCCAATGAGACAAGAGACGACAAATTTTGATGTAGTGGTTTCCTTTTTTTTTCTATAATCTATTATAATTAAAACATTGTGATATATGAAATTTACTAATATTTATATTAAAAGAAGATTTGCACGCCATTTATGGTAAAATATGGAGGCGTAATAACCTATTAATGTAACATCTGTAACACCCATATTTGAGCAAATAAATTATATTATTATTATTATTATAAAATACTTCTCAGCTGATTTTAAATATTCATTCACATATAGCTATAGCTAAGTTAAAGTTAAGCTACATTCATTATTTCATCATTTCAGCCATTTATTGTTCATTGCTGAACGTAAGCCTTTCCTATAAGCGGAGTTTCGTCAGTAGTTGCCACGAGTCGGCAGAAAGTTAGGCTTTTAGAGATTTTTTTTTATACAACTTAGAATGGCATACAAGCTGACGGCCCACCTGATGGAAAGTGGTAACCGTCGCCTATAGACATGAGCAGTACCATGGACATAACAGAGTGTACTGATCCTATTACCAACAAAATTGTTTTTTTTTTCTTTTTACCGTAGATTTTTGATTTTTTTTATTACTGATAATAAAGGTTATAGATCTATCTATCTATATCAGCTCTTAACTGTCCACTGCTGGACATAAGCCTTACCCAGGAGTTTTGCCATTAATTGCCACGCTTGGCCTGTTAGATTGCCAACCGCAGTTAGACTTTTAGTCACGTTTTAAGTGGTACTCTGTTTTCCTCCTTAAAACATCTCTCTCAGTCGTCTTTTACGACACCTACGGGAAAGGAAGGGGTAGACCATTCTATGCAGGGACCGTTATAGCGATAATTTTTGTATCCGCCATTTATTATTTCAAAACAATCTCTACAAATTTGTTTCACTGTACTGGTTCAGTATTATTCGACGCCCCATTGTCGGTGCTCCCTCTGGCATTTCATTATCAAACTGCCGCCTCTACTTATCAATATGAAAATGCCTTATCAGCGCACCTTTTCACGAAATACACGAGCGAAATATACGGTGACATTTCCAGTATTGTTTCGCATCGAACACGAATATCTGCGACGTTCAAATTTCCCCAGTAACTTCCGACGACGACTGACAGCCGTTGCTTGTAATTAAAACTGTTTTTCATCCGCCATTTTAGATACATACTCCTCTCCGTCCAAAGGTTGCCTGGAAGAGATCGCTTTTAGCGTTTTCTCATTGTGATTATTTCTTGTAATTGTTTATATTTATAATAAGTTTACTATTGTAATTTTTTGGAGGAAATAATGAAGAGTATCTATCTATCTATCTATTTAATGTTTGTTATATGAGTTATAATGCAATGTGCTATTGGTGTTCGTTTAAATAATATATAATATAGATAGATAATCTATGTATCTATTGTGGGCGATGAGAAGATGTCAATTGTTTGAAATAAATTAGGTCTTAATTAATTTTAAACTTTCGCGTTGTTTACACATTTTTTTTTATAGACCACTGAGGTGGCAAACAAGCATACAGCCCACCTGATGGTAAGTGGTTACCGTAACCTATGAATGCCTGCAATACTAGTGGCATAACGCGTGCGTTACCGACCCTGAAGAAACCTCTTTACTCCTCTTTTGAAGAACCACATGTTGTAGCCTCTTGGAAAAGCCTCGGCAGGGAGCTATAAATATATAATCAGGACTTAGCTGCAAGATGCAGGCACCACTCACTTCAGTCCTGTCGTGACCATGACGTGGTGCAATCGACGTTGAAACGTCGGCAATAAAGAAGGTATGTAGGTACTATTTACCTGTAAAGACTTTACATCGCGTTAAGTCCCGATTGTATATCTACATCTACACTAATATTATAAAGAGGAAAAATTTGTATTTTTGTGTGTATGTTTATAATGAATTAACTCAAAAACTACTTTGCCGATTTCAAAAATTCTTTCACCATTAGAAAGCTACATTCGCCCTGAGTAACATAGGCTATATTTATTGCTAGAAAAAATTATGGATCCTTACTAAAACTTTAGTAACGTAATTCAAGGCGTAAAAAAAAATGCTATATCTTTCGTCGCGTGCGCTGCGGAACGAATTGATGATAGAACAAAAGTATGTTCTACAATATTGAAGAAAATATCAATAACTACAAAAAACTTCGCGATACTATATGTCCAACTATTATCGTTATGTCACAATAATCACTTTTTTTATGTTGTAAAAATGTCCACCCGTGCGAAGACGGGACGGGCCGCTAGTTTAAAATAAGGTCTTTACGTGAATAAGGTAAAAAGTATCTCTGCTGTTCATAATTTTTTTAACCAACTTTAAAAATGGTTGAGTTCTCATTTCAGTTGTATTTCTTTTTTATATTTGTTTTCTCATAACTCCATTATTTATAAATCGATTTGGACAATTCTTTTTTATCTGAAATCATTTCGAAGATCGTGTTAAAAAATACGCTAACTTAATCATCGCAAAGCTAATTAATTTGATTTAAAAACTAAACTACAAAACCAATTTTAGAAAATTTCAATTAGTAATGCTGGAAAATAGCTTTTTGTTATAATTAAAGATTGAGTCCGACGGAATAAATAAAAAAAGCCTACTTAAATTGTGACAACACCAGTTATATTGGTTTAAAAATTAAACTGTTGAATCAATTTAGTTAAAATGCGTGTAGAGCCAATTTGTAAGTAAAGAATATACTTTTATTCAGATAAAAAAAAAGATTTTCTAAATCGGTTTACAGCTGACGGAGTTTGA